TTTCTAATATTTATTTTTTTTTTCTATTCCTAATATTTTTTCATTTGTACACGTTTACTGCCACGTTTACTGCCGTTCTTACCAATGTAGTTTAATTTTAATCTCGGTTCAGTTAACTCTTCATCTTTTTCTAATTCTTAGAATGAAGAGTAAGTTGAATCGAGGTTAAAGTTAATCCATATTGACAGAAACGGATAAAAGATGTCTTATATCCAGATATTGGATTTTATGTTATCTGATATGTTACTTATAATATAATATAACACCACATATTGCAATAATAAATGCGCGTTTATCATATATAATATTATATACATAAAAATTTTATAAAATAAATTTTATATAAGGCTTTTAATTGAATTTAATTTGAATTTCTATAAACACATGCAAAATAATTATTATTTTATATATCTAATTGACATAAAACAATAAACAATGTGAAATTTAAACTCTTAAAATTTCTTTCAGACATTTGTCTCTAATTTGATTTCAGTCTTTATGTCAATTAAATCAAAACTGGTCAATCATTAATCCAGAAAATAAGAGAATATAGTAAAACAAAATTATAACGTAATACAAAAAAAAAGAAAATAAAAGAAGTCCTCTCGAATTCAGATTTCCCTTCTCTTTCACAATTAACTCTTGGATGCACCGTTTACTCCCCCACAAACGTGTGTCCCATATATATCTGAATATTTCGGAGACTTGTCCGGGGCGCATCCGAGAGTTAATAATCCAAACGTTCAGTGATGTTCGCATCATCCGCGTCTCGTCTGTAAATCGCGACGGACGACGATGGTCCGTCCGGATGGGATGTCTCGGTCGAGGCGAATGAAGGGGAAACGCGGTGAGGCGATAGTGATCGGTTGTATGATGGTCGTCGACGTAGTGGTCCCGACCCTCGGTGTCACCCTCGTCCCGGCGTCGGTGATAAAATCGTAAAATCACGCGTGCGCACCGCCGATTACCGCCGTGTTCCCGGTTGTCGTCGTCGTCGTTGTCGATAACTGCTCCTCTGCTTCCATCATCTTCAGCTTGCGCACCACCTGCGCGTGCTCCTCCAGCAACCTGGCGAACTCGCCTCGCCTGGTCTCGGCCTCCACCTGGATCTGCTTGATCCTCTCCCGCGGTCCACCGGGGCTATCCAATGGCGTCTGCAACGCCGAATTCTGCGAACTGCTCTCGCGCGATAGCCCGTCCAGGTCGGAGCCGTCGCTGAGGATCGAGTGCGAGTCCACGTCGTCCACGATGAGACTGTAGGTATGAACGTTATGTAATAACAATGACTTTAACGAAAACAAATGTCAAATATGTACAAAAGTTTTTGTGATTTATTTGAAGATCAATTTTCAAAAATACTGGTTTCATTGTTCAAGTACAGCGTCACTTAATTTTTAATAATTAAAGATTAAGCTAAAATAACGAGAAGTTTGTCATTGATATATTATTAGTGAAAAAAATTTTTACTATGCAAGCAGTTAGAAATTAAGTTATATGTCAGGTTTTATTTGCTTTTGGAAATTAATAAATTTATTGTGTGGATGTTGTTTGTTTTTTAAATTTGATTTGAAAGAAATATAATAAAATCATTTAGATCTAATAAAAAAGAAAGAATTGGAGATGAAATTATACAAAGATTTTCTAGGAATCTCCAAGATAGCTAGTTAAAAATTTAAGTTTTTTCAAGTCGAAGAATCCGTTTA